AGCGCTTCCCACGTGTCAAAACGTAAAGCCGTTCGGCTATACTATTTTTTAAAATATTAGGAAAGAACGAGTATAGCCGCGCGGGAATACTATTTTTTTTTAAAAAATTAGGAAAAAACCGGGTATAGCTGTGTTCGATTTGGATTCTCTAATATACTTTTCTTTAAAAACTTTCTAATTAATCACATGTTCTACCTTGTTTAACATTATTGATTTGAAATCCGTTTGGTTGCCAAGAAAAGTGATAGTGGATGTCTCCAAAATCAGTAAATTTTCAGATTCATATATTCTGGGAATTGCTCTGTTTTGATTTGAATTCTGTAATACACTGTCAGCCCAATTTTTATGGGCTGACAGATCTTTGTTAAATATGCCTCACATGTTCTGCAAATCATCTTAATTAAACAACACACGCTGGCTGGGTTTATTAATTATTGGAATCTGAGTGTTCTACAAATCACTGTGTCAGGTGGAATGTCAAGTGGAAGGGCTTGAAGAGTTCCTGAATCAATCCAAATCGGGTCCCCAGGAATCTCCGCAGAAATCATGGACGGATCACTAAGTATCCCTCGTACTGCCCGCAGAACCTCGACTCGTAGAAAGCCCATCCAAGTAGAACCAGAAAGCTCACAGCCATTGACTCAAAGTCGCCCCGCGATGGACCAAGAAAAGACTGAGGTGCCTAAAACTCCTGCCGCACCAAACACCTGGAGAAGGGCTTCGGCTGCTTCTGCTCGACAGAACACCACACAGAAGGAGAAAGTGGGGTGTGAGGTGTGAGGTTGATGATTTTTTAAATTATTTTTTTTTGTTGGGTGTGTATTTAGGGTTAGTTTGGGAAGATAGTGAGATTTTCTTAGAAATTTTGAAATTTTGAATTAGAAATTAGGGTGAACAAAGAGTATGCGGGGGTTTAAGTAGAAAAACTCTTTGAAATTGAAGCTTCTGATTTTGAGAGGATTATCATTTTATCTTGTATTGTTTTAATAAACCTACTTTCAGAAATCACACATGGATTTTGCCTTGTTTTTTTTTGGTCAATAGGATTTTGCCATGTTCATTAGCAAGTGCCTGTGCACTTCCTCATCGTTGCTCATGTGAGTTCTTTGTGAGACTCATGTGCGTCAACGATCAGAAAAACACTAGAAGATATAACTTTGCATTCATTTGCAATGTACCAAAAAAAACCAACTTTTCTTTCCCATTTTTGGTAAATATTATTGACAAGTGTCATGGAGGATGACTCCATGTAAAAATACAAGAAAAATGTATTTAGCACAAATGTCTGTATAAAGTGCACAAAATGACAATTTCCATCTCTATCGCTAGGCTCACTAGCAGTTCTTCATACTGGAAATTATTGTAAAGAATTTGACAGGTTGCATATGAGACATGACTCATCCTAATTGTTCAAGCTATATTTGTTCCAGTTCTTTGTCTGAAGGGAAGCTCACAATGCATACCGGTAGATCGCATCGGCTGCACCATCTTCGTCGTTGCTGAGACCAACTACATTAGCCACAGCTTTTGTCTTCTCTGCTCCATTACTAAGAGCAATGCCTAAAGAAGCCAGCTCAAGCATCTCTATATCATTTTCTCCATCGCCAATAGCCATGATCTGAAAAAATAAGCCATGAGAATAGATCAGGAATAACATCAAATTTGGTGTACAACTAAGAAGGAACTATATAAAAGTCAATAACAGTAGCTTTATCATCCACTAACATCGCTAAACTTGTGGATTTGGATGGTTAACATACTTTTTCCAATCTGTGTTTATAAACCTCATGCCGATCAAGAGGAGGTATATACCGTAACTCCCTTAAAACAGAAGAGGCCAAAAACAACAACATGGAAGAATAACTCTGCTGGCCCATACCTCCTTTGGAGTGATTCCCAAATGACCAAGCAGCATGTTTACTCCACTGCCTTTCGAGGTTCCGGGGGGAACAATTTCAAGCATATCAGGCACAGTTTGAACAACTCTGGCAGAGTCTCCAGTTGTTTCTGACCAGTATGGCCTCAAAGCAGTAGTCACTCCCTCAGGAGTGTCCATGAAGACTAGTTTCTGTATATTTGATAAGGTGTGCGTCATTACATGAACCAAAAGCAGCAAGAACTACAAGATATTAGTTCGATCATGTTTTAAAATGAATTGGAGAGGCTAAACAATGACCTTCTGATGAAAAGCTCAATGTCACACAAGAATAACTGTTGTAAGAATCAAGAGAAATTCAGAGCAAAGTCCTAAAGTTACAACTAATGAGCAAAACTGAGTGCAAAGTAACATGCATAATTTCATAATGCATAAGACTTGAAATGGATTTGAATGAAAATAAAAAACAAACCAAAAGTCAGACAAAGTAGCTTCACAATGGACGCAACTTGTACATAGGTATCTTATAAAAAGTTCACAGGCGCTTTTTTATTTATTTTTAGAGGGGGATGGGGTTGGGGGAGGGTATTCTACCTCCTTGAGGACCATACCTGTATTCCAGCAGCAGCCACGAGATGCTCAACTGAAGGCATGATCTCTGCCTGTAAATACATTCCATGTAAATCGTATATAAAACAAGAGAAAAAGAAATCTCAGGCAATAACAGAATATTTATGATCATGATGAAAACTAATCTTTTGGCACCTTTTGCTCATGATATACAGTATGCATAGAATCAACAAGTGGGTGATCAAATAGCGTTAAACAACGATCCTCGGTAAATGCAATAAGAGGAACCTCAGTCTCCAAAGAGTAAAGACATGCCTGCACATAAAAACCATAAGGTCTTTTATTTTATTACAAACCAATGAGCAATAAATTATTGCATGCCTCACCAAGGTATTACCTCTCTGCATACATTTGCATCCAAATTCCTTCTAAAAATTTCCCGACCTTGCCTACCATAAACAAGCAATCCCTGGAATCAAGAAGAGGCAGACAATAAGGACAATACATACTGCTATCAATCCGAGACAGAAACCAAAAAAGTTCTAAGGGAGAAATATTATATGCAACAACCAATGAGCATTTTGTTTCTTAAAATCTTGACCAAGCATTATAGATGAGTCATCGGTTAAATACTTGGGAACCATGTAACTTTAGTGACAGACAAAATACATGTAAATGTTTAAGAGAGAACACGAACGGATACCACACTTCCCTCTAGTGTCATTATCAATCTTACAACAGAAAGTACTACATGTAGATCATGGGTAGATACAAGTGAGAACTTTATTCCACGGTATATAACTAGAGCAAACTTGAAAATATTAAGATAACAGCTCTCCGGACAAAAGAGTAAGTATGCATCTAACAAGTGAAGGCAGTTTGATGTTCATCACATTTAACTTAGCAACAACCTTAAGATAAAATTTTCAAAGGAGAAAAGATAGAACCTGCAAGAAAACCCCAGGAGAAAATTCTGAAACAATGCCATCTTTTCCGGCTAAATCAACTTCCTTAAAAATGCGCATCACAGCTGGACGAGCCTGTTCCAAAGAGCTGTCAACAATTAGAAGATTTTTTAATCAACTCTATTCAACAATAAAAAAGAAAATCATGTATGAAGTAATATTGAGCAACAATAGAAAACAAGAATAACACAAAGTTACTAACATACCAATCAAAATAAGTAAACTTTATACTGGCCAAGAAGTATGAAATCACATTTCCGAGTATAGTATCTCTTGATAATGAATAGCAACAAAGGTTCTTACTTTTCCGGTTGCTATCACTACTTTCACACCCCTTGATGAGGCCTCTTTCAGAGCCTTCACATTTGTTGAACTCAGTTGACTTTTGCTGTTGAGAAGGGTGCCTTGTATATCAAGAAAAATAAATATAAATAACAATTGGTACAAGTTAAATAAAATACAATAAATGCATGGGACAATGTAAGCTCAAACTTACCATCCATATCACAGAAAACATATCTGAACTTTGGCTTATTATATTGAAGGCTGCCTTCTCTCTTACTGTCTTTTAACAACTCAGATGTAAGATTATCTGACCACAAAGTTTAACCAAGAAAATTGCATCGACAGAATTCAATGGAGAGATTATACAATTAACAAATTAAAGTAAGGATGCAAAAGTGAAGCTGGAAAAATATAAAATTACCATCTAGTTTGTCCCCCTGGGTATGGGTTTCAGCATCATATACACTCTGAATTAACCCCTTTCCCTGCCATCCAAGACTCTTTAAGAGAAGATCTTCCTCCTTCTCCATTTCCACTTCAGCGTCTTTGCTAAGCTCATGATCAAATCCTAATAGATGTAACAAACCATGTACCTACAGGAGAGTTCAGTGATTACATTAATCAAATTACACTAAGAAGTTTCTAATACGAGTTATTTAATAGGTGCAAATGACACATTCTATTGACTATGCCTTTTTGCTTATTATGTTCCTGTGTAACATTATAGACAACAAATATTCCTTCTAGAGAACACTCATCTCTTCAAAATATATTAAACAGTAATAATCATATTCTAAAACCAACCATGAGAATGCGCATCTCGTCAAGGAGCGTGTGGCCTCTTTGCTCGGCTTGTCTTGCAGCTGTCTCAACAGAAATCACAATGTCACCCAACATAAGCTGCAAATCATACGAAATGCCGGTCAAGCATTTATTACAAAAAATACACCCTTTACCTATTATACAATAAACAAAAGATAGAAAAAATCAAATGAGCTAGTACAATGGGAAGCCTAAGATCAGGGACATGCTGGGACATGGAAAGAACATCAGTAGCATGGTCCTCCCCTCTCCATTCTTTATTAAGTTTTCGGATAAATTCGTCATTACAAAAAAGCACGGAAAGCTCGGCGCTTTCATATCCACCAACATTGCTGACCGCATTATCCCTTGTTTTATACACCGAATCTTTCAGACCGTCAAACGCCAGTTTCATTGCCGCTGGAGCATCTACACGAAGCAATTCCGCAGTAGTCTGCAATTTTCAATCTCGTATTATATGAGAAAAATTTATACAAACATGTGGCGATCATTCTAATCTTGCACAGTACACAGATTACATACCCAGATTTCAGGATTTTCAGGCAAAGCTTCTTCCATAGAAACACTGACACTGAGCTCCAGCTCCTTCTCCTTGCTCTTTGGGGCTCGCCGCCTCGCCTTTCTGGGGTCTCTCTGAGCAGCGAAGGCTCGTCCCCTTAGCAATGGTCTCGCACTCGCAGCACCCCTCAATTTCTCTCCGCACATCGCATGAAATCTCAGACCAAAAACCGGGGATTTTGAGGCCTCGAAACGGTTCGTTCCGGTCGGGAAGATTAGGTGCGGCGCAGATGAGTTGGACACGAGGGCGGCGGGTGGAATGTAACGCGCCATTTGAGTGGCGGAGGAAGGAGAGGAGGGTAGGTGGAGGAGGAGGAGCATGTAGACCGCCGGAGCTCTTGAGGAAAATGCGAGTGCTTTGTTTTGATTGGTTGGTTGGTTGCTTCGCGCTTTGGGAGTAACAAACGCACAGTGACAGTGACGTTACGGGCTAAAAATAATTTTTTTTGTTTTAAAAAACTTTTTATTTATAAAGGGAAAATAAGTCCAAATTCAGGGGAGTTTTATGTAATTATACAAATGGAAAAAAAAAGCTTGACTGTATGTAACGTGCGCAGGGTCTTTAATTTAATCAAGTCCGCATCAGATCAAATCCGAATTCGAACATCGACCAACCCCAACTAACATCTCTCTCTGTCTCCCTACTCTGTTTCTTCTTCTCTCTCAAAATCCTCATCTCACTCTCTTCTCGATCTTTGGCTCTTCTTCTTTTTTCCCTCCATTTCTGTCTCTCTCTTGCTTTCATTGCCCAATTCAGATCTCTCTCTCTCTCTCTCTCTCTCTGACTTCCTTGTCTGATTGCTTTAGAGCTTATTAGGTTTCCGATTCTTCTCCGTCGACAAATTAGGGTTTTGATTATTTCAGCTTCTCCAAAGAGTGCTTTTGCAGCAACTGACACTCTCAACTTGAATTGCCTTCTGATCCCATTTTTCAAATATTTTGCTAAAATTAAGTTTCATCTTAGTCGATCTTCCCTAGGATATATTTTTCTTATAAAAAGATTAGTTTTGAATATTTTCCCATTTTTGGTTAGGCTGTATTTTGGTTTGGGATTTCGGGTGCTGAAATGGCGGGTTCTGAGGGTCCAAACGCTTCTTCCCCGACTCAACAGCCGTCAAAGAAGTACGACACCACGATATTTCTTTCCGGGCCCACCCAGTCCGACCTTCAACGAAATGCCGAACTCGAAAAGGTGCACACACACATATTTATATATAACGTGGTTAATTTTGGTTAGGTTTGATTTACAAGTTGATGACTTTATTTGTTTTCTATTAATTTTGGTAGTTCTTGATTGATTCGAGGCTTTATGAGAGCACAGACGAAGCTGCAAAGAGAGTAGAGGTTCTTGGCCGCATTGATCGGGTATATAATTCTCTGTTCTAGTGTCGACTTTGAGAAGAATCAGTTATAGCCACCCTTATAGTTATCATTTTTGCAAATCTTGGGAAATACGGCATTTTATCGCAGTTGGTGGGTGGTTTAAGGCATAAATTTCAGTCATTGAGTTCTTTTTGGCTCAAATTTATTGAACCATCGATGCTTCATTTACAGGCATCCCCATTGATTTGAAGTCTTGCATTTTGCATCCAATGGATGCAGCTTATGTTTAATGAAGTAATTAATGGTTATACTTTGACTTTTACTGTAGATTGTGAAAGACTGGGTGAAGCAATTGACAAGCCAAAGAGGCTACACAGATCAGATGGTGGAGGATGCAAATGCTGTCATTTTTACTTTTGGGTCATATTGTCTAGGGGTAAATATAAGTTCCCAATGATTTCTTCTAACTGATGTTATTCATATTTGGGTGTGGAGTACAATTTCATCATTTGGAGTTTCACAAACAGATTTGGGTTATGAGCCACAACGGTATGCTATCTATTTTTGGTGATTTTATGTGCCATTCTGAAATTTGTCAAGCAAGGATCCATGCTTCATAATGAAGACACTGGTACACGGCCAAAATGCAAAGGACCATTGCTAATATTAAAATCTACCGGAAGTCTTTTATAATGAGATTATTTGGATCTTATTCAATGACCAATGGATGTGAACATGTATAACATCTGCGGATTGATCTATGCCAGTCTGTGAGAACAGTTAGTTCTACAATGGTGAACCGCTGTTATATCATTAATCTTACTGTACAACTTGCTGCTGTTTTGAGTATAACCAACTGTAGTTTTATAAATTATTAGATGTTAATGTGAAGCCCTAGATTTTTTCCTGCTTTGGTTATTTGGTCCAACTACTGAGTGAGAGACTATTTATGCTACTTGTTGCCCACTTTTCATGTTTTTTTTCCTTTCTGTGATAACCATTCTTTATGTGTTTGATGTAGCAACAAATTTATTATTTTGACAGGTTCATGGGCCTGGAGCTGACATAGACACTTTGTGTGTTGGGCCATCGTATGTGAATCGAGAGGTGATGTATATATCTTTATCCGTCTATATATAGAACCAGTTCTTGTTTAATGCATCCGGTCTGATTTATTACCCACATCTCTACCTCACATTTGACTCTTTCTCCAGGAAGATTTTTTTATTATTTTGCATGATATGCTGGCTGAAATGGAAGAGGTTACTGAACTTCAACCAGTTCCTGATGCTCATGTACCCGTCATGAAATTCAAGCTCCGGGGAATATCAATAGATCTTTTGTATGCAAGCATATCTCTTTTGGTTGTTCCAGAGGTGGGTTCAGAATTCACCTTCTTAAAATCTTTTGCTCTTTGTTCCATTTATCCATTGTGCTTCATAACCATGCGACCATAAGAAGGACTGTTTCCAAGCCCCTGTAAACAATATCTTGCTACCTTCCTATCTTGTTTGGTCATGTGGGCCATCTAATGCTCTGGTACTAATATCCTGATTGTTTTTTGCTTGTACAATGTACTAACATTGTGATTTTTTTATCCATCATTATTTGTGGCAAATTGGTTACTAACATTTTGAGACACTTATACTGCTTCATGATTGAGACAATGAATAGTGGTGTTTACGACATTGATGTGGTGTTGGAACATACTTGTCCACAGGATCTGGACATCTCACATGAATCTGTGCTATTTGATGTCGATGAGCAAACTGTTCGAAGTCTGAACGGCTGCAGGGTTGCAGATCAAATTCTTAAACTTGTCCCCAATGTTGAGGTTGATCATAACTTATCCCTTACCTGGTTTATTTCTATTTTGAATTGACTCAACCTTTGACACTCTATGTAACTGTAGCATTTCCGCACGACACTCAGATGTTTGAAGTTTTGGGCTAAAAGGCGTGGTGTTTATTCAAATGTAAGGGCAGTGGTCTAAGTTCTCAGAATCTTCATTGGTATTAACTCTTTAGTTTTACACTTATGCAATGGTCCGTTCCTTTTTTCTATTGTGTGTAGGTTACTGGATTCCTGGGTGGTGTAAATTGGGCTATATTAGTTGCTCGGATATGTCAGCTTTATCCCAATGCAATTCCTAGCATGTTGGTTTCTAGATTTTTCAGAGTATACACTCAGTGGCGTTGGCCAAATCCTGTAACTTTATGTTCAATTGAAGAGAATGAACTTGGTTTCCCTACATGGGATCCTCGTAAAAACCCTCGTGACCGCTTTCATCACATGCCAATAATAACTCCTGCGTATCCTTGCATGAACTCTAGTTACAATGTCTCAATAAGTACTCTACGAGTTATGACAGAGCAGTTCCACCATGGTAATAGGATATGTGAGGTGAGTGCATGAATTGAGTTTTTTCTTCCATTAAGGGCTATGTTTCATCACTGATGTCGTTTCCCCTTTGGTTTATTGTAGGAGATTGAGCTGAACAAGACCCAGTGGAGCGCTCTCTTTGAACCTTATCTTTTTTTTGAGGCATACAAAAACTATCTGCAGGTGGACATAGTTGCAGCTGATTCTGATGATTTGCTGGCGTGGAAGGGGTGGGTAGAATCCCGGTTTAGACAGCTTACCCTAAAGGTAAAATTTTTCGTTTTGGTAAATTTTTATTTTTGTAAATCTTTACGGAGTATTGAGTTTTGTTCACATTTATGGGATCTCTGATAGTTGAGCCTGTTTAGACAATTAGTCGAGATGGAGGAGATTATAGTATTGTTCCTATTAATGGTTTGCCTGTGCCTTCCTGCAGATAGAGCGAGACACGAATGGGATGCTGCAGTGCCATCCGTATCCAAAGGAATATGTAGACACATCCAAGCCATGCCCACATTGTGCTTTCTTTATGGGTTTGCAGAGGAAAGAGGGAGTGAGAGGTCAAGAAGGTCAGCAATTTGATATACGTGGAACAGTTGATGAGTTCAGGCAAGAAATAAACATGTATATGTTCTGGAAACCTGGGATGGACATATATGTTTGTCATGTTCGCCGGAAGCAGCTTCCTCCCTTTGTTTTCCCTGATGGGTATAAACGTCCTCGACCGTTGAGGCATGCAAGCCAGCAGGATGAAAGAAACGATGAAGATGCTGGGGGATCTGGTTCTGGGTCTGCTGAACGACATATCAAGAGGAAAATTGATCCTAAAACAGAGGATGTGGGGCCAATCAAACAAGTGAAGCAGACCGCTATTAGTCCTTCACGTACGGGGTCTGTATCCCCATCAAATAATGCAGGTAGATCTGGTGGAACACCTGATATCAGCTTCAGTAATGGCAATAGATTAGAGTGTTGGGCAACTGGAGATGCAGATAAGAATTCCGATGTTAGATTGCCTGTTAGACAGTTGAAGAGTGAAAAGGATAGCATGGGAGACATGCGGGTGGTTGAAGATGTTATGCATGAATCAATCACTAGAAATGAGTGCACATCTATGCTTGTTTCTGAATTCCCAAGAGTCAGAAATGAGGTAAAGCCCTAACAGGATGGTTGTGCGGTAAAGCCATCTGAACAGTTGGAGAAACCTCTTTCCTGGAATGAATTGGTAGTTCCATGTGCAGTATCTTTCTCAGAGTCCAAGGAAACATTAGCCTAATTGAGGACAGAGCTGGAAATGTGGCATTGATTGACATGCAGAATGTGGAGACCAACTGTACTAGGAGACTTCTGAATTGGACAGCGAATGCTATTGGAGTCGACCAAGAACTAGTCAAACCATGTAGTCATTGGAGTGGAGCATGCTGAATTTGTGTCAGGATCAACTTCCAGCACTCAGAACCTCAATTGTGAGTGAGTTTCTTTTGAAAACTGTGGATTCGAATTTGTACTGGATTGAAGTGAGAAATCTGAAATTTCTGGAGGAAATAGTGAGAGAAGGGGATATTTGCAGGATGATGCACTTCTGGTAGAACCAGAGTCGCTTTCGGAAAATGGCTCTATAAATGCGAATGGGAGATTTCAAAAAGCCTTGTCAGAAGAATTTGAGGTTTTGAACATAAACTCTCTTGTGCATGCTGGTTTGCATACCTGTTTCTTTCTGTTTTCGCTTTATTTTTTTTTCTTTTTCTACACTTTCTTATAATAACAAAAACTTAGGTACTTCATATCCCTTCCTCTGTCTTTCACTATTTTTTGGGTCAGCAACTTCTTTTTTTGCTGGTCCACTTTTTCTACTGTAATAGTGTAATCTTTGGTTCTGTGCTCCTTCACATGCTGGTATTTTATTTATATAAAAAATTTGTGTGACATTGGTGAGGTTTATATTGTTAGATCTTCCGTGATTATTTGATAACGTTAAGTTTTTTATCTTATTTTTTTGCACAGACAATGTATTAACTGGTGCATATTGTGGTGGCAGGTCCTGCACCACTATACGTGCTTTTTACCAGCAACTGTGCTTAAAACCTTACTAGTTTTGTGTACCCTTCATTTTTATCTCATCCCTCTTCTCCAATACATTTTGGGAACCTGACAAGTCTTCTGATCCTGGATTTTGTGTTGTATAGCCAACTTTTGCAATCTGGATTGCTGTCAATTTGGACGATGGAGCTAGGACAGAATCTATGCATTGGCCAACAGTAAGGCAAGTGTTTGAAACTCATGATGATTTTTAGGCAAATCATTATATCTTTATACTGGCCTGTTTGTTTCTGGCTCTTTTGTAACAGGTTGAGTGTGAGGTCAATTACCTTTTTGAGGTGAGTCATTCAAGGTGGAGTCTCACTTCTGTAAGGGAAAGAACCAGCACAATGGTAAGCGCCATATTAACTTGCTGGCTTTCATTAGGGTTTCCAGGTGTGGGTGTGTGTATGTCTTGCGAAGTGCTGCGGAAGCTTTAGCCATGCAAACTACTCTGCATAGCTTGGTGCTTTAGCGTATGGTCTTGGGCTTCAATGTGGCTGGTGGCTTATGGTTTTGGGGCTTCACTGTGGCTGTAAAAATGTAAGCACCATAATTTCATGGAAGTATGCTGGTCCTTTGTAGTCTCCAAGGATCCTGTTATTTGAGCTGTTGCTATTTTTCGTTGTGGGTGTGGGAAGTTCCGTATCTCTGAATGGAAGTCACTTTAACCAGGCGAATAGAGTTCAAGAATTGAGCGGGCGTCTTCGTTCTTGTTTTGGCTCTGTATAGCACTCATCAAACTTTTGTAGTTTGTAAATTCACCATTGTAATACAGTTTTTTAATCAATACATTTTTGCAATCTCTCTCTCTCTCTCTTGCAAACAGATTTGTATACCCTTGTTGGTAGAGAAAGATTCTCATACTTCAAACTCTGATAAAGGCAGGCTGCCTTAAGCAGTAGATAATTCATGAATAAGGTGGCAACAAAAGTTCATTTTAATCAGAATATTTTGGCATGAGAAGAAACATCGACTGCAAAATTGAGACTAAAAAGCAACGACAAAACTGTATACAATACTTCCCGTATGGTCTGACAGAGCTGATAGTCTAAGAAGCCTTTGTAACTACAAAAGTGTATGCAATACTTCCCGTATGGTCTTACAGAGCTGAATCTTCAAAAAGAGTAGTCGATACCTATGTGCAAGCTGTACTGATCTTTAAACGAGTCTATGGCTAACCCAGTCTCGTAATGTGAAGAAAATCTTACATGTAATTGGTTATACAAGCATGTACGTGATGAGAGAGATAGACACATGGCCCTATACAACCAGTGATAGGAAAGTTCTCCATTAAAGGGGTGTCAAATGCCAGCCTTACCAGTGGTTTGGCCGCATATGACTAACATGAGATTTCTTTAGTACATCACACACTGTAAACTAAGCTATCGTCCGCCTTTTTACAGCGTTTGTAACTGGAAAGGTAGGTGGCACTGCTAAGGAGGGGAGAAACATCAAGGTCACTTCCCATCTTTTTCACTTCAAAGCCTTCTGAGGGACCATACCCACGAAGAATGTGCAGAACTTCCTTCATGGAAGGCCGAGTTGAAGGTAATGTACTAGTACAAATGAGCCCTAGTTTCAGCACAGTAGCCATCTCTTCCAAGTAGCACGGTTTCGTTATCTCCTCATCGAGGGTATCGGTGATGGTCTTTCCTTCGCTATATACCCGCCATGCCCATTCTGCTAGGCTCGTATGTTCATCCCCACTGTTAGGTTCTCTCCCGGTTGTTAGTTCTAAGAGCACAACACCAAAGCTGTAAACATCGATCTTCTCGTTGATTTTCGTTGTGTAAGCGTACTCTGCAATGCAAGTGTCATACAATGTCAAAGTGATATCTGGAAAAATTGAATGAAAACAAACTAATTTAAGAGATTATAGAGAGTGCAATGGAATATATGGAAGCTCCTACCTGGTGCCATGTAGCCAAAGGAGCCTGCAATAGCAGACATTGTGTGGTGATCTCCATCCTTTGCCAAAATCTTGGCCAACCCAAAATCTGCTATACGAGCCTTGAATTCAGAATCCAACAAGATATTGCTGGACTTCACATCTCTATGAATTATTGGTGGAGAGCAGTCATGGTGCATGTAGCACAAGCCTTGTGCAGCCCCTATTGCAATCTGCAACCTGGTTGGCCAGTCCAAAACAACATGGTGAACCACTCCCATGCCTGATGCTAACCTTCTCTTCTTTCCATGTAGCCACTTATCCAGGCTCTGATTCACCATGTATTCGTATACAAGAAGCTTCGAATTCTCGCTGGAAATGCAGCACAGCAACTTAACAATGTTCGAATGCCGGATTGTGCCCAGTATCTCAACCTCAGCAATGAATTCTTTCTCGAGCCTCTCATCCAATTTGCTGGTATTCCAAATCCTTTTCACAGCTACGAATTCACCCGGGCAGTTAGTACTAACCTGATAAACTTTCCCTGATCCTCCACTTCCAATGAGATTGTTATCTGTCAAATTGGCCAACACAATGAACTCTGTAAAATCCAATCTGTGGTGGAATGAGGTGAGCTTCCATGTTGCCAAGTCTTGACCGCGCTTTCTCCTCCGGTAGTCTCTGACTATAAAAAAGGTCAATAAAACAGTAACTAGAGACACAGCAATAGAAAGCACTAAAATCATGGCAAGGAATTTAGAGGACAGCTTGTGAGAGTCACTGATGTTGGTGTAACATCTGGGAAGATTTAGAATTGGGGTACCCGCGCATAGATTGGAATTATTCAAGAAACTGTCTTCATATGCACGGTTAGCAAACACATCTGGGATTTTCCCAGAAAGCTTGTTGGAAGACAAGTTGAGGGAATTGAGCCTCAAGTGGCCAAACTCAGCTGGGATTTCACCTGAGAATTGGTTTCCTGACAAGTCCAAGTAAAGTAGGTCGGGCAAAGAACCAATAGCTGCTGGAATGTGGCCTGAAAGCTCATTTCTTGAGAGATTCAAAGTATCCAGGGACCCCCATGAGATGATCCGCGATGGTAATTCCCCTGAAAGTCGATTGCCATCGAGTAACAGAGTATTTAGCTGAGAAAGGCTGGTCAACTCTATTGGGATTTTCCCAGAAAACAAATTCCCACTAGCCTTAAAAACAACCAAACTTTCCCAAGAAGAGACTTGTGTTGTAAAATTGGCTCACATTTAGTATGCATGCGAAGGAGTGAGCGACCGGTCGCAAGGTTTGGGCAACCGGTCGTTTTGAAGCAGATTCGAAGTCTCGTAAGAAATCGACGAGGCAGGAACACGAGCGACCGGTCGCTTGACATTTGCGACCGGTCTCTTAGAAGCAGATTCAAAGCGACCGGTCGCCAGTTCCTGGCGACCGGTCGCTCCAGTCGTGCTGTGACGTTTCCTTACGTGTTTTCAACTGTGTTTTCAATGGCTATCGCTTTCCACATGATTTCAGAAGCTTTGTGGGTCACTTCTGAGTTAATTGAACGTTGACTACGTGCTGGATAGTTGGGAGAGCACTCATTGCCAATTGTTTGTCTTGCTTTGAAGGATTCACTCTCCATTTTCTGGTTTAGTGGAAGGTGGCTGAAGTGGGAGTTATTTACTTGCATGATCTGATCTTTATTTGTTTGGATGTGGTCTCCAAATCCAAGCTAAATCAAATGGGTTCCAAGACCACACTTCAGCAAAACGAAGGCGGGGACGCTACCACGGTTGGATGATCTTCAATTTTGGATATGTTATAAACAAAACAATTTCGAGCAAATTCCGTGAAGCAATCACAACCATCCGAGAATCATATATTGAAACCAGATGCAGAAACCGAGTCTGCAGAAACCCAGCAGCCATGGCTGAACACAAAAGATGCAAACCCGTTTTGAGGCATCAGGAAAATTCAGAAAAATCTACAACTTTCACAGATTTTAGTTCTCAAGTAGATGAACAACTTTCATGAAGGAAGTTTTCTGATTGGAGCTTCCGAAATATGACTTCTGGATTTCTGAACAGTACCCTCGGTTTTGGGTCTTGAAGAAGAAGGAGGAAGAAGAAAATGAGGAAAAGAAGTGCAGCCGAAAGTGTTGTTTTGTTGGTAAGGTTATTTATCAACAATTGGACAAAGGAAGCAGCAAGTCACGTGGGAGAGGTTGGAGTGCTGGCTGCAATATGCTGGCTGCAATGTGCTGGCTGCAAAGTCATTTTGTCATATTATATATGTATAATAGGTGGATGAGTGAGAATTGGCTGGAGAGAAAGCATGGGGGGCTGCAAAGAGAAACAATGCAAAATTTCAGCCAAGAGTGTTGTTTTGTTAACTAATATTTGGACAAAGGAAGCAGCAAATCACGTGGGAAATGCTGAGATGTTTGACTCAAATATGCTTTGGGTGGATTTGGCATTATTTTATGGGAAAAGTTTAATAGGTTTGTCCATTTGGGGAAAGAAACCTTTCTTTCTTTTTCTTTGTTTAGTGTTTCAAGTGGGCAGGTGCTTTATGTCAACAACAGATGACTTCCAATGCAAAGAGCTGGATGCAAGATGCTGGCTGCAAGATGCTGGCTGGAAGGTGTTGGCTGGAAATTGTTGGTTGGAAAGAGTTGGCTGCAAAGGTGGCCAAATAGTGGCTGCAAATTGGCCAAATAGTTGGCTGGAAATTGGAAGTCTTGGCTGAAGAGATGGTTTGAACACGAAAGGACCACGTGGATTTACTTTGGTATTCTCAAAGTTGGTTCATATTGACATGCAATATCAAATAAAAGGGCTAAGAGGTATGGTTGAGTGGGGAACCCACGCGGACGACATCCAAATATTTGGGGTTCACATGTCACTTAACGTTGGTGGGAGTCTTGACCAAGTCAGAAGCTCCAAGTTCACAACTTCTCACCAAATGTCAAATCAAGTCCAAAGCTCAGCCTACAAAACTAAGTTCAACAGATGTTTTCCAGCAGATGTTTTCAGCAGATGTTTCCTACAAGTGGCGGAGTTCAAAGACAGGAAAGCATTAACATCGGGAGGATTTCCAAGACATCGGGTAGTTCGTACCTAGAGCTCCGAAAAGCATTAATATTGGGAAGATTTCCAAGACATCGGGTAGTTCACGCCTCGAGCTCCGGAAGGCATTAACATCGGGAGGATTTCCAAGGCAGAGTTAGTTGAATGGCCAAACCCATGAGCTGAGGAGCTCTATAAATAGAACATCAGATGAAGAAAGAGGGAGCTCCGACTCAACACACAAAATCTATCTTTCTATCTTGTACTTTTCAATTCATAGTCTAGGATTTTATCTTCCAAGCTTTTCAGATTATCCAAGTTCTTCGTTTTTCTAGTGTAAGCTTACTTTCTTGCAATTTAATTTCAATTATCTTTACATTCAAGTTTAATTCAAGCCTTTATCGCTTTAATTTATTTTATCGCATTTACATTTCTCGCACTTACATTTCTGTCATTTCGTTTATCGCACTTACATTTCTGTCATTTCTTTTATTGCCTTTACATTCATTACACTTATCACAAAAATCCCAAAAATAGTCATACAAAGCTCAATCACCCTTGACCTCAAGGAAGAAAAAGAACCTAGGCCAAGAGGAGGTTCCTTGCTTGGCCGATCAATCGTTTGATTAAAAGTCAGAAGCGCAAACACACTCACACGATCTTTCCATCCAAGCCATCAAGTGGCTTGGTGGTGGCACGCCTACGCATCTCAAGAGAAGAAGGACCAAAAACTCCTTCCATCGGCCTACCCGGCCGAAAAGAGGGAAACATAATTTGGCACGCCCAGTGGGACTAGAAAAGAATTGTATGGTTGTAAACACTAGGAGGAATCCTAGAAGAGACCAGGAATTTGAAGAATTTAGACTTAATTTGGAATCAGAGTCAAGCATGGCTGGTTCACTTCCTACAAGTTCTCAGCCACAAGATGTTCCAAACTCTCAGCAAGGACAAAATGGCCTTGGCCGAAATACGGGCGTGGGTCTCGACCACGTGGAGATCGAAGAGGTCATGGAAGCCGCCGAGGGACCAATCTTGAGGCCAAATTTGGCCACATCTTTGGAAGTCCAACAACTCTCTCGTACGATAGAAATCATGGCTCAAACCATGGCCACTCAAAATGCTCAGATCAATGAGAGGTTTAACCGATTGCTAGGCCAACAAAATGGCCAAAATGGAAATCAGGCGGCAAATGGAGTGCCAATGGCAGGGCTTCAAGTGGAGGCCCAACCAAATATCTTTGGGGCAAATCCGCCTCAACCAAATGCACCGGCTGGGGGCAAACCAGCTCTAGCGGTCAACGGTCTACCCATGGGTAATAACCTATATGCGGCGGCCAAT